CTTTCTATTTCTTCACGGGCAGATAATATACAATTGTACGGCGTAAATGTCGGCCCACGTGTCGACACGACTTCTATCGAAAGGTTTCATAAACCTTAGTAACGATACGCGTTGATCCGAGCGTTCGCGCGGCCGCTTATGCTTTCCAGTTAGAGGAAAGGAAGCGTTCGTAGTTTATAATTCGGAAAAGTGAAAAATAACATATGATTCAAGACCAATAAAATCAACTGAATTAGAATTAATTGATATATCGTTCTCTTCTTAAAATTATCTTCTTTCTTTTTTATCTTCATTTTACTCTGATCTTTTACTCTGATAATCGTAAATTATAGTGATCTTTCAGTGAAAAATAATAATGATTAAAGATTGAAGATCAGTAGAATAAACTGAATTGGAATTAGTTGATAACACAGTTCTTTAAAATTCTTCTTTATTTTTTATTAAAAATCTCTTTTATTTTATAATTATATCTTTTTCTCTGGCATCGTAAATTATAGTGATCTTTTAGTGAAAAATAATAATGATTAAAGATCAGTAGAATAAACTGAATTGGAATTAGTTGACAGCACAGTTCTTTAAAATTTTTTTTTAAATTACTCTCTTTTTTTACTTTTCCTATTTTTTAATTAGTCGTTTTCTTCTCCTCGAAATTATTTTCTTTTTTTATCTCCTTTATTTTATAATTAGTCTTTTTCTCTGGTATCGTAAATTATAGTGATCTTTCAGTGAAAAATAATAATGATTAAAGATCAGTAGAATAAACTGAATTGGAATTAGTTGACAGCACAGTTCTTTAAATTAAAATTCTTCTTAAAATTATTCTCTTTTTTTACTTTTTCTATTTTTTAATTAATTTTTTACTATAATAAAATTTTCTTATCTTTACGTATAATAATTATATTCTCTTCTTTTTATTTCTTCTAATTATACTCTATTCTTTATTCTATATATATAATTTTATTCTCTTTCTTTATCTTCTTCATCTCTATTCTTTATTCATCTTCATCTTTATTCTTCTATACTCTATTCTTTATTCTATATATATAATTTTATTCTCTTTCTTTATCTTCTTCATCTAGTAATTAGTTTTTTTTCCTCTAGTAAGTATCGCGGGTTATAAAAGACACACAGCACATGTTCAACCGTGTTAGATTAAAACGATGAACGTGGATAAGCGAAAGTCCGTAGGGCAAAAAAAAAAAAAAAAAAAAAAAAAAAAAAAGGGATATCGTTGAAGCAACCTCAGTGTTACACTAGTATCCGTCTAACGTATCCGAGCAACGATCTCTAAAAACAAAGGGATCAGTATGCAAAAGAAGGGTTTGGCCAACCCTGCACAGGTGCCACCCGGAGGGGGGCTTTTATGTTCAGTTTCACATTCATAAGTGATACAAAGAGTTAGTACAGGGAGAGAGACTTTTAACGAGGGGGGCGAATAAAACCGAGTTTTCCCTCCCTTAATTAAAAGTACTGTGTCCAACGCAAATTAATGATTTCACTTCTCAGAGGCCTCACAGGTCTGCCACAGTCAGAAGTATCTTTCGAAAGTTGAAAGCTGCTCTGATTCTGGCGTCTCCTGCCTATCTTTTCTGAGTATTTTCAAATATTCAAAATTTTACCAGATTGCCAGATTAACGAACGAAAGGGTAAATGTAATAGAGTAAAAATAAGAAAAATCATACTGCAAAAAGGATTGCTTATATCTTCAGCATCGAGTGCTAACATCAGAACTACCAGAATGGTCAAAATGACCATTCGAATATTCTTCGAAAGCGAGCCGACGCCGGGTCACTTTTGACTCGTGGCTGAATTTTTACTACACTTGCTTTGCACCTAACATTTTGGTACAGCATATTATCTAATAATGTTTATAATATGGGGAGGAGAGGAGTTTGTTTAAAAAAATGTAAAATTTTACAAATATATTTTTTATTTATGTGCCCTTATTATGTAGAACGTTATTGTATTTTATTGCATGTTCTTTGCATATAAATTGTAAACATTCGGCACATTTGGTACCATATTTATTATCATTGCCTATACATATATAATTCTGGGTCGGTTACGCAACGGTTAAACAGTTTCAGTATTTCGACCGAACGATTTTTCGTAAAACAAATGAAAGCTTGCGCGTCGTAAAGATTTTTCTGTCTCTCTCACTTGCATTAACGCCTCGACGATGGAAATTTTATGGTTTAGCCGTCGGTAGCGTTTCCAGCGTTTCACACACACCGTTTCTTCCAAGCAGCTTCTCATCGATCCGTGCCGGAAACACAGCGAGTGCAACGTTGCACTTTCACTCCTGACCAACGGCCCCTCGTTTTCCTTTAATTTCTTAATTAGACGACGCGAGGGGGAGAAAGAACGAAGCAAAGCTAGTTCTATCTCTGATGTGTATCTAACCACGCGCGTTCTCCGATACATACATACGTTGTTTGCTCAGCCGATATTTCTCACCGGTTTTCTGGCGAGGGCTGCCACCCCTTACGCACGACCGGTCCGCGGCTGGTAATTATCGTCGCGTGTTTGACCCTGAGAGAGTTGCGAGAGAACGATAAGAGGCAACAACCGGGGCAAGTTAATCGGGGCCAATGGGATAGCGCGAGAGGGAAAAACGCCAGGAGAGGGAAGGAGAGGAAAACGAGTCAAGGCGAGAGAGACTGAGAGTCGTTGCACTCGTTAGAATTTTCCTGTCCAATCCGCGAGCTGTACGCTGCGCGTCTGCGAGCAATTTCGACAGTGTCGAGCGAGGCAACACCTCGTTTACAGCAATCGCGGGAATTTAATTCGGCGAAACGATCGTCGGCCAACTAAATCGGGTATAAAAGTTGAACGAACTCGCCACTGATTATTCCGCTGAAAAACTGTATATAGACAACCGCAATTTTTACGCGTCAGCTCATTAACTGTACACGCGGCGAGCGAAACGTATCTCGCGGTCAGCTGAAAGCGGGAACGTGTTTCATTACTCGTCCAACGTGATGGATATCTCTCTCTGGCCATTTGTAACGATCGTACGTCGCGTTCTTAAAAAAAAAAGAAAAAAAAAAAATGAAAGAAGGAAAAGATGTTTGTCCATCGTGTTCAATCGGAATAAGGGTAATTTGGCACGATGTTGTCATCAACGTGCGCTTAATCTCAACCCGCGAACTTTCCGACGGATTCCCGGGATTCGTTAGCATTTCAATTGACTCGTGTTTCAATCAATCGATTAAAGCGCGTTATCCGATATCGGCGTCCCGGTTTGCAAAGTGAAAAGATCGAGTCGAACGGGAGGTTGGAGGCGTCTGAAAGCGTGGTTTACATACCGATATCCCTCGAAAAGATCGAATATTCATCCGGTTAACGAGTCTCGATGCCCGCAGACATCGGGGGACGTACTCGCGCGCGAAACTCGCGTCGAGTGTCGTCTTTGCACTCGAGTCTCACTCCGTTGCAAATTGCTTTTCGGCTCGTTCCAACTTTCCCGTTTCCCATGAAACTCCCGGTCCTGGTGTCTGTGATCCAACACAACGTTCGTTGAACGACTGGAGAAACATTTGTCACATAAACGTTTATAATTATTTAAGGGAATGTTCTGGTAATCCGACTTGAAAAAAATCAATCTTTCTTTTTTTTACATCTTCTCAAAGTATATAGCTTTCGAAAATGTCTGTATAAAAGGATTTGTTTGAATTCGTAAAATTAGCAAAGTGATAGATTAAGTTTAGAGGAAACGGTGTACTGCTCGCAACGTAAGTATGAATATTTTTGTACAACGGTTAACAAAAACTTCAAATGTGTTTGTCTCAAGAAATATATTATTAGTTATTTTTATATTGTTATTATTTTATATTTTATTTTTCTACTCGATTGATTGTAAGTATGAATATTTTTATACAACGGGTAATGAAAACTTTAAATGTATTTTTCTCAAAAAATATTTCATTCTATAATATTATTATTCATTTTTATATTGTTATTATTTTATATTTTATATTTCTACTCGATTGATAGTAAGCATGAATATTTTTGTACAACGGGTAACGAAAACTTCAAATGTGTTTTTCTCAAGAAATATTTTATTTTATAATATTATTATTTATTTTTATATTGTTATTATTTTATATTTTATTTTTCTACTCGATTGATTGTAAGTATGAATATTTTTGTACAACGGCTAATAAAAACTTTAAATGTATTTTTCTCAAGAAATATTTCATTTTATAATATTATTATATTTATTTTTATATTATTATTATTTTATGTTTTATTTTTCTACTCGATTGATTGTAAGTATGAATATTTTTGTACAATGGGTAGTAGTAACTTCAAATGTGTTTTTCTCGAATCCATATTTTTTAAACTGGCTGACCGGGATATCTCGCGTTTCAGTTGACCGATTAACTTGAAATTTGGAGGAGATCTTCACCACATGTACCTTGATCACGTGAACCACGGATTTTAAAATCTAAAATATTTCTTCTTATTTTTTTTTTTTTTACCACTCAAAAGACGAAAAGCACAAGGAAAATCTATATTTTAACTTCAAAATGCTGCCATTTTTTTTAATTTTCGAAATTTCGCTGTTTCCGTGGTTCATACGATAGCCATATTTACACTAATTAAGATGCATTTTGGTTTTTCACTTTTACATAACCAGGTGGACCGGAATCACGTTAACCATTCGAGCCCGTGCTTTACCTAAAACTATATCATTTCCACAACTTTCGTCAATTTCGTTGGAAAAAAAAATTGTAAATTCTCTTCAAGTATGAATAAATGTGTGTGCGAAAACTATATACCAAAATTTATCACGGTTTCCTTAGAAAAAAAAATCCCCCATAGAAAAGTCGATTTTTTCAAACCGGATTACCAGAACACCCCCTTATAACCTACTTTTTAATTATTATTAAATTCTCGAAAAATTTAATAATCTTCTCATTGAAGATTATCACATTTTCTCGAAGCAATTTACAAAAATTTACGCATGCGAGCTAACAGATCCGTGATGGTTGCAGGTCTTCAGAAAGCGGTGAGCGATCTCTGAAAGGAAAGATAAGGAAGGGAGCATTTGATAGAAGAAGATGCCGCTACCAAAGCGACTGGTGGAGCCGGTGCTCGTCGCGCGCGGCACCATCCCCGAGAATTTCCCTCTGCCCTCGGAGCTAGAAGCTGTAACGAACGGCACATTAGCAAACACGATCAGGCAACTGTCCAGCCTGTCCAGGCATGCCGAGGATCTGTTTGGCGAGCTTGCGAGGGAGGCTCATGGATTGAGCGACAGGGCCAACTCCTTGCAGGCCAGGATAGACCGATTAGCTGTGAAAGTTACTCAGCTTGACAGCAACGTCGAGGAAGGTTCGTTGATCAGCCGATTAATTATGCAGCCTGTGATTAATCTCCTGCGATGCTACGTCAGGAATGACGTAGATTCGAACATGAACTAAAAACGTATAGATCTTTTCCTCTGTTCAGAATTGCTATAATATTGATTTGCTTCCTTTTACCATACTGATCCCGAGTTACGTATCCACGAGCAAAGAATTGGTGAATTTTGGACGAAAGAAAGAAGCGATTAATTTAATTTACTCAACAAGTGAAAAAAAATAAAATGTCATTGGCACTGGAGTATCTACTCGTTTTACTGAGTATTTAAAGTGACGAATGAACAGAGTTCAAAGATGTAAAACAAAGTTCAAATGTGAAATATGTAGTGAAGTTTTTTTTTTTTTTTTTACTTTGTAATTATTGTTACTGTTGTTTTCTTGTTGTTTCAGTCTCACTGCAAGATATACACATGAGGAAGGCGTTCAAGAGTTCAGTGGTGTTCGACCAGCAAGTTGTTTCCAGGGATACCATGCCAACGGCGATGTTGGAAACTTATCATCAATGCGACACGCCACCACCTCTTGATAAACTTAACGTTTACAGGTATTTCACTATTTTCCTTTTACCACACTGATCCCGAGTTACGTATCCACGAGAGAAAGAATTGGTGAATTTTGCACGAAAGGAAGAGGGGATTAATTCAATTTACTTGAAAAAAATAAAGTGTCATTAATTAATAAAATTCTGTGTCAATTACAGGGAAGACGGCAAGGACGGACTAAAATTTTATACGGATCCGAATTATTTCTTCGATCTCTGGAGTCAGGAGATGCTCAAGGATACGGAAAAGAAATTACACGATCGGGGGAAAAAGGTAAAGAGAACTTTGTTCTCTTTCTCTCCTTCGGTTTTTATATATAACGTGCACCTCGATTTTCTTCTTCGTTTTCTCTTTTCTTTTTTCTTTTTTTTTTTTTCTTGTTCTTTAGATTTAGAGGATAAGGCTATTGAATTGTGTTGTTCTTTTTTTGTATTTACTGAACATATATGATATACAATTTCGCGTATTATGTACGTACACTAGCTAAAAAGAGAACACTTTTCGAGGTGCGCAGTAACGATACAATTTGTTTGTTTGTTTTTTTTTTCTACTTGTACATTGTGAATATACGTACGATATTCTAACGATTGAAAATGTCCCCTTCGTTTATAGACCGAGTCTGAATATGCCGAACCGTTCAGAGAGGCAAGTCGATGGTTTGGATCTTTGTAGTTTTTTTTATTACCCTTACCCAGTTCTAATGAATTTATCGATCGCCAACCACTCACTCATACATAATCAAACTCACGTCTTTGTGGATTTTCATTAACCGACCTTTTTGCGCTGATAGAGATTGCGCTGATAGATGCTCGCTTTGAAAGTTTGTAGTTTATATTGCTAGGATTAGCCAACGACATCAAAACCAAACACATTCTTCAATGTTCCGCCCTTGGCAAAGAATCTTTTTATTGCGTAGACCGAATGATGCGTTCGTTTCTCTCACTCTCTCTCTCTCTCTCTCTCTCTCTGTTTCTCCCTCTGTCTCTCTTATTTTTTCCTTTTTTTTCTTCTCTGAAACAATCATGCCCTTCGTTTTACGTGCAAGTTTGTCAAAGACGACGTTCGTTCTACGCAGAAGAACCACCACCTTGACCGACACCTCTGTTTTTTGTCAAAACAAATTTGATTGTTTTTTTCAAACTCGAATAGTTTGCCACTACTATGTCATTTTTTGTCGATCACATTGTAATGCCAGTTTGCGCCAGCCATGCAACTTTTGGATGTACTCAATAGACGTCTCTTCATCATCATTCATCGGTCCATTTTGCAAAGAACGATATCGATAAAGTCTCACGATCTCTGATCATTTCAGGATTATTTTTTTGTATTTTTTGATCTGTCATGTTTCACGTTGTGGGAAATAAAACTGTGAACACTGTTAGAAGCACTTCCTTGAACCTCCAGTCTTTCTTCAGTTTCATTTTGTTTAACCCTTTCTCTTAACTGATCGTAATCTCCTTGCAAGTTTTGAATAAATGAGGACATTTTTTACATTTCATATTTATATTACAACGTTTAAAGAGATCACCATTTTTATTTCCTACAAACCCTTTCATCTCCAGTGGTTGATCCTCTGTTTTCTTCCTATTTTGAAAATTTGAAACGAACAAGAGGAGCGAACGCGAAGTCGTGATCTAAGCAGAAGATCAAAAGTATCTTCTATAATTTAAGCGTGCAATGAAACAAACATTGGATCAACCATCGAGTCATATTTGATTGATAAAGTTAAGCTTGTCTTGCACTTTTTTTTGCTACTACTCTGCGATAAGACAATCGTTTAATGAAAGATTTTTACCGTACAGCCTCATAGACCTCGGAACGAGGGTGGTGGTGGTGGCGGTGGCAGGCATAAGAAGCGCATAAGACAACCGCATAACACGAGAGAAAGGCAAAGACAGTTAGCCGTGGGTCACGGCGAGTATATCATGCCAACGCAAGGTGTTCAATACAGAGCACCTCACAACATACCGGATGAATCGTTATTGGGAATGGTGATGACCGAGCCACGGCCACCTAGGCCAAATAGCATTGAACTTAGACGAAGTTATCCACCGGAGGAGCAACACCTCTACAGTCCTCCTTCTTCCGATCATTATAGGTTGGTAATTTATAAATGTCGTCAGTGCTCGTTCGATAAACAACAATGTTTTAGTATCAGCATTATGCGGAGAGAAATTAAAATGTTTGGTCCTTTCTATTTCCTTTGAAAACAGGGTAGCGAATTACGTGGCTCAGGGTTACGAAGACAACTTGTACGGCTCGCATTATGGCACAGGCCAAGGACAAGCAGGCAGCGAAACGTACCAGAGTCCTGGTGGTCAAAGTACTCCAAGTAGAAGCGGTAGATCACGACCGTCGCAACCACCACCAGCTCCACCAAGCAACACTTCTAGCAATTCGACGCCTACTGTCGCTTCTGCTAACAATACTCCAACACGTGGAAGATCAATGAGCACCGGTAGAGACACTCTTCCACCACCACCTCCGCCTCCTGGAGAAACCATGTCCCCTCCTCCTATGAATGGTAATTTTATATCTTAAGAAATTTACTAATGAATTCTCTAGCTGATCAAGCTGATAAAATCAAAAATTTATTATTGCCACGTTAGACGTTATCAAGCAATAATTAACGATAGCGTAATTACTCTAATTTTTTCAGGTTCAATACCGTCGCATTTACTAAATAGGAACGGGAGTCGTTCGAATAGTCCGCTACCCAGTCATCACTCGACGCCTACTCCGCCGAATCATTCGACGCAAATAGGAACGGATGAGACTGATCCTGCTGCTCCGCAAGACTTGCCGCCTCCACCTCCGACTCCCGATCCTACACCGCCTAGACCCATTTCTCCACCGTGTAATATCCCGCCACCGCCTCCGCCACCTCCGCCACCGCCTGTTGCTAATGGACCGTCGCCCCCTGTGCCATTGACTAATGGCGATATTGCTAAAATGATAGCGACTAATCCGCCCAAGTTGAAACCCCTGAAACCCTTGAAGAATATCGTGGATGGGCAATTGAGGAAGCCCGTTAATCCGAACATCCCCCTTGTCGATCCACGAAACGATCTACTTAAAGCAATTAGAGATGGTAATTATCCAATCATTCGGTTAATTGAAATTAACTTTTCGCTATACGTTTGTTATACACGACCAAGTTGACAGTGTCGATTGTTTAATTTTATAATTTTATTTTATTATATATAGTTTCTTATATTGTAAGAAACTAATTCTTATATAGTTTCTTATATTCTTTGTTGTATAATTTCTTCTACGTTTTTCTCTCAGGAATAAAATTACGTAAAGTGGAGAAGATTGAGCAGAAGGAAGTGGAACGCGTGAACGCGTTGAACGACGTCGCGTCGATATTGGCACGACGCGTTGCCGTCGAGTTCAGCGACAGTGATTCAGCATCGGAGAGCGAATGCGACAGCGAAGGATGGGGCGAGCAGGAAACGAATCTCGCGTGACCCAGCTCACTTCCATCTACCGCCACTGCCTCTTAGAGAAACGGCTGACGATCCAATTCGATTTCATTCGCTCTCAACGAAATCCATTTCTGTTATTCGTCGCACAAGTCACACGCTTTGTCTGCGCACAGGCGTCGAGTAGGAATAATTTGATTCGATGTTGGGTGTGTATCGAAGAAGCATCGGATTTGAAAGTAGAAACAAGACCAGCGAATTTCGTTGGTCGATTTTTTGTGTTGAGTTCTGTTAATACAGAGAGCGTGTAAACGCGAATTATTATAAGTAATATTCATTAAAAGTAATAGTATAACTACGATTATTTTTATTACGCACCGTTTCATTACCTTTAACAGGGTTATTTTCTTTTCTTTTGTTGCGAAAGAAATGTTTAGTAGCTTTCTTTTTTCCTTTTTTTTTTTCTTTTTTGTATAAACTACATAAAAGGAAATTTGTTTTTATGTTAACTGCAAGCTCAATTAAATACTTAGCATGTATTTATCTGAAGACGTGAAAAATATTATTTAGCTTTTCTCAAACGATTCTAGGCATTACAAGCGAGAGACTTGTTATTTATTGAAGAGAGCACACAAAGTATGAATATAGCAAAAGTCTAAGAATTCGTGCGTAAATTCAGAATATTTTTGTGGAGCTACATAAATACACTTTTCTTTTACCTGCAGACGCTTCCACTTTGTTTTACTGTTACAAATAAAAGTATCAAAGTTTACGAAGTATGTAATAATCGCATGTTCTTTTTTTTTTCGATTCTCCGATTCAACGAACATAAAGCAGATTACTTAGAGTAGTGAAAGGGAAAAACCCGAGTAAGAAGAAGATACGCACACGAAGCCACGCGTCGATTTCCTATTGTTGCTCGATATCGATCATAGAAGTGATTTCTTTTCGACACATTCCATGATAATACCAGTACCATACGATGGAACAAATTTGATTTTTGTTTTTTTTTTTTTTTTCATTTCAGTGGTTCGATCGTCCGATACGACGATACGATATGCGTAAGTCGTTGCTTAAGACAAGCGACTGCTCTGTACATGTTACGATCCATTGCACGCGAGGGTATGTATTGTATGTAAATTAAAACCAAACTGCAGAGCTAATATTTTTGTTCCCCTCTTTTGTGTATAAATCTGTAAGATACCTGTATCTTAAATATTTTTTGTATGCTTGTCTCTATTAGGTGTATGTATATGCGCGCTCTGTCACAACGAGAATGATCCACAGGAGCATTTCCCAATCTTTTCTAACGTTTTCAAATGATCTTCCACATCGTCGCGACTACGACAAAGACGGTACCGTGAGGAATGGAATGCCCGTTTTATCAGCGAAGTGTCGAAAATAACCAAAATACTCTATTTACTTGTAACGTGTAAGGAACAATGTAATTACCGAATGAGTGAGAGGATTCATATTTTTTAGCATTTAGCGGAAGAATATACTACTGTTGCAATGAAGATTACAGTTGCCAATTTTAAGCGTGTGAAGGAAAGAAAGAAAGAAAGAAAGAAAAAAAAAATGATTGTGATTTATTTTGCATCGATGTTGGTGAAAAATATGACGACTATTGGTAAGATATGATATATATGTATACACGAACATTATATATATACATATTGATCGTTAAGATTATTGTATAATCTTATGCGCTCGAACGATGATAAGAAGTGTTCAGGAAATCTGTTTTTATCTCGCTCGTTTCCGAACGTTACCTAAATGTTTAAATAAGACAAGAGGGGGAAAGGTCTTCGTTGTCTTGAGGAAAGTTCTTGAAGATGCCTCTTGTCGGTTGGTTAGTTGGTTGAATTAGCAGTTTTTTCGTTTATTAAGCGCGAGGGATGTTCGATTGACTCGAACGCGCGTGAAATGTAATTTATATTTAATGATAATTTCCCGCTGGCTTCCCGGAAGCGGCAGCGTTTTTATCTTGTATAAAGTGTGAAGCGCGAGGAGAGGTCGCTCTGCAATGTAGCATATACGAGATTCACCGTCAACGATTACGATGTACATTCACATGATTTCGAGGTATAGTCAGAACGCCATTATACGATTATTAATGAATAATAATAGTAATAATAATAACGATAATAATAATGATAATTATAGTATTGTAACGATGAATAATATAAGGAACAAGTTGATCAAGTCTCGTCTGTACTATGTTTATACATATATACATACAGAGGTAATATAATTCGCAGTATAAACTCGTTAGCCGTAAGACTACTAGCCGTAGGTATATACTTTTAGCTACTTTGCCAACTACGACGCAGTATTTATGGAGAACTTTTTTGTAACACGGCGGTACAATCGAGGAAGGCGAATAATCTTCAGTTGTAAACTTAAATATCGTGCAACTTTGTATGAATGTATATTATATGGTCGGTCGTGCTTTCCGCGATGATGTCTATCGCGTACTAAACTATTACGAAGCTGTTGTACCTAAATAAGACGGTTATTCCAAAGCTTAATTAAGAGAGAACTGTTTTCGTCTTTACTAGAGGATGGAAAGGAGACGTTGAAACCGTACCTTTTTTTTTTTTTTTTCGTACATTTTCTCTCGTTTCTTTCTAACTTGAAGAACCTTGTACTCGCTCGTTTTAGATTCTTTCCTTCTTTTTTTTTTTTTTTTCTACAGGTGCAGAGTAAACGTAAGCTCTTTATCTCTCCCACTTGACTATCGATAACACCTCATAGATAACAAATTTCCAGTAAATAAGAATGTTTACGTACTCCAAATCCAGCGCAATAAGAGTGATTTCACCCATCGTGTACGATATAAAAAAAAAAAAGACACTACGTCGGGCAGAAACTCAATCGTAATATCCTTAAGATGATTAAAAAAAAAAAGGAGAATGTACGACGGTATTATTAATAATAATAATAATAATAAATTTGTAGCAAATCTGTACAGAGCCAAATAAATCAAAAACTTTCATAAATCATTGGACAATGTTTTTGTTTATTCTGTCGTTTACATAAAGAATAAAGAATTCCTCAAATTCGATTTTGCATTATATTTATATCGCGAATTTACTAATTAATGAGAAATCTTTTGTACGAAAAATTTAAGCTTTGATCGGTAAAAAAGTTTCAACAAACTTTTAGTTAAAGATAATTAACTTTTGATTTAATCTCCACCGACTTCGATGCTGATATTAAAAAAAATATTGATACTCATGTTTAAATAATTGTTACGACGTCTCGAAAAGATTTGAATGACTATAATGACCGCAGAATTATTAGTAGAAACAACTATGAATGATTTGAGGAAATCGGATCGAAAACTTTGGAGAAAGGGATCATTAATAATATTAATTAGCAACTCTTCATTCAATATGGACATTATATATATTATACAGTTTTGTAAATAAATATTATACATACAAAAATTATAAGATACATTATTAGCATGGTAGATTTAAGACGTTAGATGCGTAAGTAAATTACAAGATGTACTGCAAATCACATCGTAAATTGGATCTTATGTAATTATGAAATCTCTCTGTATTTTATGTTACATTAAAGACTTATAAATTACTCCGATATAACAAACACTCTGGATAATAAATTCATTACATTGTCCCTGTGTAATAATGGGATGTGACAATTGTTAACAACTAATCGATTAAATAAAGACTCGTATCAAAAAACTGTTACAGACATTGTATGCACCTTTTTAACTACATTCGCATTAACAACATTGATTCTACTGTCGAGTGCATTTCCGCGAAATTATTTTAAATACGAATACGTTTCGCGCGTTTTTTGATCTATTGAACAGAATCTGTAAATTTTTATTTATGCATTTTATCACTCAAATGGAACGTAGGAAGAGAGCTGAGAGTCTAATTTCGCCGATACAATCGCAAAAGTTTACAAATCAAACTCTCAATTAGTTCTTTTGTGCAAATGAAAATTTAATCAATTTATGGACAGTGAAATACTAGCGCCGCGTAGCGGCGAACCGGTGGAACTAAATTCTATCGCTGTCCTTGTTGCACACTATCGCGCTCCTTGTCTGTCACGTGGCATAAGTCTGTCCTTGTCGCGCACTGTTGCGTTCCTTGTCTAGCGAGGCAGGTGCTGCCATCTGTTGAATTTTTCCATTTTGCACTTTTAGTTCCAGTAAAAGTTTAGAGGCCCTTAGATGGCGACACCATCGATAGACAAGGAGCGCAGTAGTGTGCGACAAGGACAGACTTATGCTACGTGACAGACAAGGAGCGCAGTAGTGTGCGACAAGGACAGACTTATGCAATGTGACAGACAAGGAGCGCAGTAGTGTGCGATAAGGACAGACTTATGCAACGTGACAGACAAGGAGCGCGATAATGTGCAACAAGGACAGCGATAGATTTTAGTTCCACCTGTTCGCCGCTACGCGACGCTAGCATTTCCCTGTCCATAAATTGATTAAATTTTCATTTGCATAAAAGGACTAATTGAGAGTCTGATTTGTAAACTTTTGCGATTGTATCGTCGAAATTAGAGCCTCAACTTTTTCCCTACGTCTCATTTGTCCTGCAAAATGCATACAAGAAAGATTTAGAAATTTTGTTTCATAGCTCGATGTATTTATAGATGCGAAATTCATTTTGTCAATGAATCAATAAAATTTTCATTTGCAAAAAAAGAATTCCCAATTCGACTGATTAATTTTGTATGTTCGTAGCTAGATCCCAAAGTTTTTCCCTTCGTATATTTTATAATGTTTGAGCTTTGTAATACACGTTAATAAATTATATTGTGTATATTTGTAATACGTACAAAAATTGTATTAAAATGTAACAGTAGTATCATTTGTTGATTTTCCAGATAAAAATTACTCGGAGCATAACTTTCTCTCTCTGCTTTAAATTTCAGAGAAAAGCTGTAACACGAGTACACGATAAACTTCATTCTATAATGATCATTCTAGCCCTTGGTCTCGTAGCGTGAAAATAAAGGAAGATGCACAGAAATAACTTACCTGGCGGGAAATGCTTAATACAAACACACACACACACACACACACACACACACACACACACACACACACACACACACACACACACATGTGAAAATAAAAAAACCAAACATTGATCACCAACCAATGAAACATAGTTTTATTTATAAATTATATCTTTATTTTTACAACACTAAATGTAACATCGTTAAAAAACTTCGTGGATGAAATTAACTAGAACAACGACGCAAAAATAAACGGGTACAAATCTCAAACTTAATCTGATCCAGAGGAAACTTTCACTTGCATGGGAAATGCAATCCGAAAAATGCACCGTGTCCGCGACGAATTAAATCTTGCAACAACTTCGTCGGCTAAAAAATCGTAACGACGGATAAATACAATGGAAACCTCGTGTCTACGCAACAGTTGCAATTTGTTGCAAAATCGAATGATCGAATTATCGTTCGGGTATATTGAAATGTGAAGTGGTTTCTTTCTTTTTCTTTTCTTTTTTTTTTTTTTTCATCGATCCTCTGTGTTTCGAAGTATGTATCTGCCTCTCGTCATTGTTATAATAAAAAATGTAACAGTCGTTATCACAAAGTCCCGTGAAATATATATATATATATATAAAGTGACAGGCAGGCGTAATAAAATTAACGTTTTTATTCGAAAAATTCAGACATACACAGATGCGAGAGAAAACAATGGTAGCACATGTTGTTTTTTCTTTTTCTTTTTTTCTTTCTTTCTTTCTTTTGGGTAGCACCGATAAATAGACGTTGAAACGATTAAAAATAATGTTACAGGTTTCAGAGTGGCTACAACGCGAGCTAAAGTTGCCCGTTTCGATTGAGCAGTCAGTTGTCAACGACAAGAAAAAAAAAAAAAATGCACGCATCATCCTCGCTCGGAATTAAAAACGGAATTTTCGTCGACTTTTACTCCGCGTCTTTTTCTTCTTCTTCTTTCTTCTTCTTCTCTTTCGTTACATACTTGGCCGCGATAGCTTTTTTGATAAATAGTCTGAAGCACTTTTTTTTTTGTCGCACTTGTTATATTTCTTCTCTATTTTTTTTTTTTTTTTTTTTTTTTTTATTTTTTCATTTTTTTTTTTTTTCTTTTTTTTTTTTTTTTTTTTTTTTTTTTTGCTTTTTTCACTTTTTCTCTCCGTCTCTTTGCGAAAGGCAAGGAATATCCGAACGGACAAGAGCGTTTTCCTTGCCCCTGTCAATCATTACGACAATATACGGTATCTAAATCGGAAGGATTACATGTAAATACGAGTATCGAGATCCGCGATGGAAAATTTCGAAAGATTTCGCCGGAAAATTCGATCGATCGTACGATCGCTGTCCTTTTTTTTTCTACTTTCTTTCCTCTCTCTCTCTCTCTTATCGTATAAACTGAATCGTCTCTTTACACAGTTTGGTAAGTAACGTCCGAGGATCAGGTCACGCACAGAACGCGATGAGCAAGGGCAAATTTTTCCGCGATGAAGACGCGAGACAATGAGTTTAGAAATTCGTAGAAAGTGTATCGATCGCGTGTCGTAAATACAGACAGGTTAAAAAGGAACTGTTGAAAATCCCGCGGACTGATCTTCGTGGCTGTCCCGATTTCTCTTGCAAAGCAAGTTCAGTTTCTCAAGTTAGAATGGAAACGATCGTGTTCTAAACAACTGATTCTTGATTAATTAATTCTAACATTCCAACGTTCACGCGGAGTAGGACTAATTAATTCTAGTGTTCATTCGGACTGTTACCTGACGTGAAATTTTTTGAAACTTTAGCCAAAACGAGAATCGTTGTTCTTACACAGTCACGTTTAATTACGGCGAATGAAGTTTAATTTTCAAGCAACTTGGCACAATCGAGCGAGTGCCAAATATTTCACCTTCCCTTGCTTAAGCAATTCAGCATTGAAAGTTTGTTTCGAGAAACATTTGTTTCATTTGTTTAACGTTAACAAATACAAATTGCAATCACGACCCAGACGCGTTCCTTTGCAAAAATAACGTAGCTGTAGAACAAAGCTGTAAAAATACTACTTGAAGAAACTCCCGACATTCAAGTTGCTCCTACTCGAACAAAACTATCGTTCCGCGAAAATCATGGAAATTCAACTTCCGTTCGCGTACAAAGTCCAGGGTAAAATTTGACACGTTTTCACAGTCAACGTTACGACCATGATACACTAACCAATGAAGTACAATATTCAGTCGTTCTTCGAAAAAGAGGTCATTAACATCAGTTTCGTTTATCTCTTGAGTAAGAAAACAGTTTTAATCGCGTACATAATTCGCCTATTCACTGTTTGCAGCGTATATGTATATAATCACATGACATTAAAAAACACTACTCATTCCTTTTATTGCTATTTCTTCAAACTGTTAGTTAAATATATATAAATATATATGTATATATGTATACTGTTAATTTCATAACAAAATTCACCATATATATATGGTGAATATATATATGGTGAAGTTTGTTACATGTACAGAATGTGAGCGTTGTATACGTATATTTTTTTTTCTATGAGTAATTGTTATTGCGGAATGTGTAGCCTGTCTCATTTGTTACACTTTGTACAAGTATATCCGTGAAAGCATTGGATCTTATAAAAGTGTGAAGTTGGAGCTGACTTTTCATCCCTTTGTTAAAGAAGCTTCTTCCCCGCTCGGGGAATCATTGTGTCTTTTGATTTTAATCGAGAAGTTACACGACTAACTAGTTATATATTAAAACGAACAACTGGCATTCCATATTGTTATAAATGCGCGGCATCTACATGATTTCGAATATTCGAGCGACAGACGTCTTAAGTACCTGCTACACGTTAACAGTAGTTTTATCAAAAGTAGAGTACCTAGCTGTCTAGTTTGCCCGTAAGAGAAAATATGTAAGGCAAGAGTTGAATCGTTTCACAGTAAACGCGTATCGGATGTAACATTTTTCAAACGCCATTTCCTCACCGTGCAATCGGTATTATTAATATCGACTCGAACAATATTCTCTTCAAAAACGTTCTTTTCGACAGAAGTGTAGATTTTTGCGCAACGTGTCATCATGAAAACAAGTCCCAGCCATCATCAAAGTAAGATCTAATTTTATTGACGTACGTAATTCGAAGTGACATTAATTTTGCCGATTTTTGTTCAAAGTGAGAAATAGCCTTGAAAAAACGTACACTGCCAGACGAAACTGTTCAACTTTAGTTTCTTACAAGAATAGTGTCCATTTCGTTAAAGAGATAATAATTAATAACGGGTATGCATCTTCGTTTCTAATTTCGAATATAATGTGCTTAATTCTCGTAGAAAAGTGGCTGGCGCAACTTGAATGAAGTACGTTTCTTAAAACACGTTCTGTCCATTAGCTAACAACGAATTGTAAAAGTGATATTTTACAATCTGATAGAGAAATGACGCTGATAGAGTAAAGGTAACATTTGGAAAAATTTCATTTCATCAATCAGACTTGTCATCATGTATATCTGTCATAATTCCAAGTAAATTAACAATTTTATGAATTTTAAATCTTCGTCGTTGATTGAAAACGTAAATTTAGGTATCGTGACATGTGTGTGCAAGTGACTATACCGTTGTCAAATTTAGTAACATTTGCAAAAATTTATCAGACGTGTCATCATGAACTTTCCGCACTGACGTATATCTGTCATGATTCCAAGTAAATTAACAATTTTATGAATTTTAAACCTTCGTCTTTGATCGAAAACGTAAATTTAGGTATCGTGACATGTGTGTGCGAGTGACTATAACGTTGTTAAATTTAGTAACATTTGCAAAAATTTATCAGACGTGTCATCATGAACTTTTCGCACTGACGTATATCTGTCATGATCCCAAGTAAATTAACAATTTTATGAATTTTAAATCTTCGTCTTTGATCGAAAACGTAAATTTAGGTATCGTGACATATGTGGGCAAGTGACTATACCGTTGTCAAATTTAGTAACATTTGCAAAAATTTATCAGACGTGTCATCATGAACTTTTCGCACTGACGTATGTNCTGTCATGATTCCAAGTAAATTAACAATTTTATGAATTTTAAACCTTCGTCTTTGATCGAAAACGTAAATTTAGGTATCGTGACATGTGTGTGCAAGTGACTATAACGTTGGCACTTTTCGAGATCTCAATTTATGTTCAATCTTCGTCAAGTTCATTTTCGCGCCCTCGCATATTTGTGTATGTGTGTGTGTGTGTGTGTGTGATAAAACAAAATTCTCTTCCCTTCTTTGCTTTCGAACTTTCCTTTCAATCTGAAAAGTACCGAAAACGGAAAAGGACCGTGAGAAGAAAAGTAAAATTGCCATTTAACCGAGAGATTCCACGATGCCACGAAGAATCAGTCCACGAGATCGATCTTAGATCTCAAAACTACATTTCTTCCTTTTCGCGTGTCGGTCATCGCGATCCGCGCAGGTTACTCTCTTGCGATTTCCAACGATTTATTATTACGGTCTACTCTTTGGCACAAAGATCGCGTCTGTGTGGGTTAACTGTAATCGGTAAATCGGATTTGAGCTCTCGAGACGATTATATTCCACTCGGTAATTAAGAAATTGCTCTCTAAGTTTTCTCAGGGACACCGGCCGCTAGTCAGGTTTTTTTCTTTTACTTTGGACTTTCAGAGGGGGGGGTTGAGGGGGGAGGGGGTTTCCTTTCCGCGAGGAGACTATCAAACTTGCGAAGAGCCCCCTCTTTCACGATTATTACTACGCTTCGCCTTTCCCTTTTCGCGCGTATAAAATCACCCCGACCGCGTCGCGGAGATTTAACCTTTATATATAATATATACGATAAAATTCAAAAAATACAACTGTAACTACGTTGAATCGAACGAAAGGGACAACAAGATTACTTCTCGCCGTTAGTTTCGAGAACGTTGGTTAGTTTCGAACGTAGAGCATCTGAACAGGTCCTGTTGAAATAACGATTTTACGGTGAAATACACGGATTTTAAGAAGAAGTATACGGTATACATTAGGAAAATACTTTTTTTTCTTTTTTTTTTTTTTTTTTTTGAATGCAGAAACAATTTTTAACGTCACCTACACTTCTTTCATGCGCGTATGTGTGTATATGTATGTGTGTGTGTGTGTGTGTGAAACCTTGGAGAATTTCCCGAGAAACACAGCGGGGTATGCTGCAACGAGGAGTCCTCGACATCTCTCAACGAAACATGCGTGCGTGTGTGTGTGTGTGTGTGTGTGTGTGTGTGTGTTAAAGAATGCGTGCACACCTTAAATTAAGGGAAATATCGTACAAAATGATTCTTTACGTTTTACTTTTTACACTTATCTCGTATTATATCCTTTTCAAAGTTTATGTCGTTGTATCTGTGATGAATAAATCTCGCTTCGTTCTGGAAGGAATGATTCGCGATCGAGGCCTCGTGGCGATCGCAGCGCTTCGTATTCGTTCCAGCATACCCCGTTGTTAGTTAGCTTGGCGTCGAAACACCGGCGAGAACACCGAGAGTTGTTCCGTCGAGTTGGTCGCTCGTTGATTCGTTCGACGATCGATAATAAACATCTGACAGAGTAACAACCAAATCGAGGAGATTTCTCTTTCATCGGTTTTTTTTTTTTTTTTCCCAATCTATCGAAGCAATCGGAGGCAGAGGTGCGCTCTAAGATTCGCGAGTAACTGACTGGACGTCGATCACAACAAGACGATAGCAAACTAAACGCGTCACCGACGCGTATTCTAACGCGAACGTACCCGACGAGACGATTTCTCGAAAGTAGCTACATGTAGACGTAGATCGGATCTAGACCTCGAAAAACCGGATCGAGGCGAGAACGTTTGGCAACACGTGTAGTCTAATTTGTTTTTGTCTTTTTCTTTACTTTTTTTTTTTTTTCTTACTTTTTATTTTGTTCGTTGCTTCGCACGAAATAGTCGACTTCGCACGAAGTATCGACTACCTCGACGTGTCCTCGATTTGGTAAATCATCTTTTCCCGAAGAGGATTTACTTTCATTTCAATTATGTACCTAATTCGAACTCCGCGGCTTCCGTAAATCTGAAGATGAAGCTCGGAATTCGGATTTCTCGTTTTATTCTCTCTCTCTCTCTCTCTCTCTCTCTCTCTCTCTGAGAACGTCGTCAGCCTGCAGAAAAATTATTTTCCTACTTATTTAGTAAAAAAATTTCGCTCAAGAGCTTCTCTATACGGTAGGGATAGATAGTTCGGGGAGCATTTTTCTCTCTATTCGGCGAGTTCATTCTTCCTCGACGCTAATGTCGACGGTTCTAACCCTAGAGGAATCAGTGGGTAGCAGCTGAAGACGCTCCGGTTCCACGCCGAGCATGATGATGCACATGAAACTCTTGCCGGACGCCTGGTCTCTCGGGTAAATGGTCACCGGTGCGAACTTGTCCACGGTGCCGTCCACGTACGCCCGTAGCTTCCTGTACACCTGCGGGAAATGCCTCCTCAGCGACACGCCCCTCAGCTTCAGTTGCCTCTGGATGTTGGTGAAACTGATCTCCCGTATCTTCTTCGGCGTATTCTGCCCGTTGTTGCCCGGCAGCGAGGTGAGCACCAGCATCTCCGGCGACTCCATCTCCCTGGTGATGTTGCACGGCGAGGTGGACTGTTGCCTGCCCTGCGGCGAGGCGGACGACGAGGACGTGTGATGCCTGTTGGCCGTGTCCAGGTGGATTTTCGCGCATCTGGACACCAGCTGACGCTCCCACTTCACCGCGCCGCTGGTCGGCACCTCGCTGACCACGCACACCGCCACGTACAACACCAGCCGGGTGTCCGGGTTGTACGACTTGCAGAGTCTGATCACCTCGGCGTACAGTTCCGCGCCCATCTCTCTGGCCATCAGGTCCGACCAACGGACGTACGTCGGCTCGCCGAGGTCCACGAAACCGTTGGCGATGAACTTCTCCGCCGCCTCCGGGCTCGAGAAGAAACACTTGACCGCGCCACGGCCGTGGAACGCGTAGCCGCGCTTCGCCAGCGCCGAGATGTGCTTCAACGTGATCGGGTCCTCCTTCGCGGAGGACAACACCTGTTTGCAGAGGCTCCCGGCTCGAGAGTGCAGGCAGGTCCTCCGATGGCGCTGCCAGTGAGCTCGACGACACTCGCGCGAACAGTACAGGCAGGTGCAGTTGTGACAGCTCTTGTACGTCTTCTTCGCCTCGGCCAGGGTGGCCGAGTTGCTGCACTTGTTGTTCCGGCAGCGTACCATCTTCTCCGCGACGTTGCCGGCCACCACCAGCCCGTTCGCCTCCTGGTTGCTGTCGAACGACACCCTCCGGTGTCTCAACGGCCCACCCCTCGACTGCGCCGCACCCTGCTTCGAGGGCATCGTGTCGCTACCCTCGCTCTTTCGTCGCACCAGCTCGCCCACGTAGTACGAGGCACGCTCCTCGGAGGCTCCTTGCACGTCCATCACGCTCCTAGCGGACTCTGCGACATTTGCCAATTCGTTTATCGTCAGACAACACAGACAATGCGTCCCGTCTCATACGTTTGCGTTTCGAAAACTTACGTGCTTACGTCGCTCGTACCGCGTTTATCGTTTGGGCACAACGTTAACGTGCTCGGTGCGAATAATTCGCTCTAACGTGAACGTCGTCTCGGCGATTTCGGTGGAAAGGACAGTTTGTTGTGGCTATCGCGGATGAATTACACACTTTCGATCCGACCGAAGATACCTTGATTTTGAATTTCAAAAGGTTCTTTTACTTTTTGGCATTGTATTCTACTCGTCACGAAGGTGAAACTTTTTCAAGGGACCTAAAAAAGTTTCTTAATCGTTTAACGCTGCAGACGCGTGCGTTCTAACAGCGACTTTATGATTCTCAACACGTGGATATCAATTTTACATAATTTTCGTATTGACTCTCACAAACACTTGTCTTCTAAATAATCAAATCATAAAACTAAAAAATAAAAATAATAAAACTGGCATTATTCGAAATATAAACATTACATGTACGCGTTCAGAAAATTACAAAGTCGCTGTTAGAACTCAGAAACTTCTTTTTTATTTTCCACGAGAATTCGGTTGCGACTTGTGGTCCCTTGGAAAATTCTATTTTCTTTTTTAATCGCGAATCTGAAAAACTAGTCCCTCAGAAGTCTAGAGACGACGTACAATGAAGAATATAATTATTATACCAATAACAATGAAATATTGTCGATAATATCATCTTCTTTTACGAACTTATATCGGTTCAAATTATCGACACTTTTCATTCTCATTGATTATATTCTTCACTGTACAGGATGGAAAGATTTGATGCGTGGAAACACATGTAGAGAACCTATCGTAAAATTGACCTTGAATTTCAAGTCGTGAAGTTGTTTTTTTCTTTCTTTTGCGTTGTATTCTACTCATCACGAAGGTAAAACTTTCCCAAAGAATCTAATAGTTCTCTTAGAAACACGACAAAAATATATCTTAATCGTTTATCACTGCAGACGCGTGCGTGCTAACAGCGACTTTATGTTTCTAGATGCCTATTTGACGTAATTATCATATTAGATTCGTCATAGTTGTAGCATCAATGTGAGTCTAAATAATCAAATGATAAAACTAAACTGTTAACATTATTCGAAATATTATTACGTGGTATAGATATCGTTCAGGCTCATAAAGTCGCTGTTAGCACGCACGCATCCGCAATGTTAAATAATTAAATAACTTTTTTACCATTTCTCAAGAGAACCATTTCCTTGGAAAATCTTTACCTTCGCAATGAATTCCGACTACAATTCCGAAAGAAAAAAAATTTTTTTGACCTTGAAATTCAAAGCCAAGATTCTTTACATGTATTTCCATCAAATCAAAGGTGTAAAATTCATCCACGATAGCCACGGAGAAACTTTTCTTTTCACTCTGCACACTGAAATGCTTGATCGGTACAATTTTGATAAGCCAAGTGCTCGATCTGCATCTGCTTGAAGCTAGACGTTTCGTGCAAATTGCCTCGTGAATGTTATTCGCAAATTGCTCGGGAGTGCTCTGATCCACAAACGATAACGATACGATCGAACGTATTCGAAGCAGAATGGAACGTGATAATGTAAGCCATGTCATGTGTGTATACATGAAACGAATATGATTACCATGATGTTTCCTTTTGTGATCGCAGAGAGTGTTTAGACATCGGTTGAACCCTCGACCGACTCGTCGAGGATCAACCCGTTTGATCAGGCGTTCGTGTACGAGTTGCATGGTTGCAAGTTAATCAACGTTATATATGCTGTTCGTTTATATATGTATATAGAAAAAAAAAAAAAAAAGTAGAAAAGAAGAAAAGAACTCACCCTCCCGAGTGCCTTTAGCGAGAAAGAAAAGAAAAGCTCTCGTAGTGCCTTGATGCGAGCAACGAAAGCAATTGTTAACGCGATTGATAACGAAACTAAAGGAAAAAAATAGAAGAAGAAAAAAAGGGGAAAAAGAAAAAGAAAGAGAGACGGGGAAGTCAGAGTTAAATCAAACGAAGAGAGGTAGATAGGTGAAAGTATAAGAACGAAGGCAAAAAAGTCTTGAAAAAGGCCTTACGAATTTCGCACATATTTTAACGATTCGCGTCTCCTGCGTTTTCGGGTGGTTGCCGTCATAAATCGTAATTAGCTCTCCGGGTCCCAGATTGGCTAGTTTCACCACTGATACAATTCGTCTCTGATAGATATGCCTCGCATCGAGACGTCTGAATTCAGGGGAGGCGAGATGCTACGATTCCGCCTCCCTGAGCTCTAGACGCCGTTTTTTCTCTGCAAAGGTGTAAAACAACGTAAGTGCAAAAACGGAAAAGAAATGGAGAAAGAAAGAAAAAAAAAAAAAAAAAAAGAAAAAAAAAAAAAGAAAAGGAAGAAAGAAAAAGAGAAAGAATCAAACACGGGTGAATCAGACATTCCGCGTTTCGCGTTTTTATTTTTCTCGTTGCCCCGGCGACTTGCCACTTTCCTCTTTCGGCCCTGCTTTCTTTTTTTTTTTTTTCAAACCACTATCCTTTTCTCTCCCTTCGTCGATCGTGGCTGTGACAATAAGACGCGGCGATTCCGACGAGGAAACAAAGAAAAACATTGCAAGAGAGAACGACGGCAGGCTGGGAAAACTTTCGACCTCGAAATCGACGAGATCTTCTCGCCGCGTCTTTTCTCTTGCACGATTGGCGTTTCGAGGCAAAATGTGGAAAAATGTCGTTCTTACAGCAAGAATAGATGCAGAACGAAATGATGAATAAATGAACGAGAGAGCACAAACTACTGGAACATCACGGGAATGAGGTACTATGAAATTATAAAACATTTACACGCCCATTTTTCGGACGAAAGGCGAAATATTCATAATTTCGTTTCAATTTTTAATATACGATTGCTGTCTCGTTTCTATTTCCGTTTGCAAATATGACTGGTCGTTTTTCTGTAAAATTGATTCTTCTTCAATCGTCCACGAAACTGCGACAAAAATATGCACGAAATGCCAATACTGTTTTTCCTGTATGAAAACGATCAAAGATCATGAAGAGAAATATGTATATATTTATATATATATATATATATATAGAGAGAGAGAGAGAGAGAGAGAAAGAGAGAAAGAGAAAGAGAGAAGAGAGAAAAAGAGAGAGAGAGAGAAAAAAAGATAAGGGGGTGGCGTATATGAGGGATGAATGGCGACGAGGCGAAGAGAAACGCAAGCGGAGCGCATAAATTGAGGACGACATACAGGTACGCACAGTGTAGTTTTACAATTCAACTGTTAACACTTATACTTTAAGATCGAGGAATGTCAAAAAATGTTTCTAAAATTGCTCGTTCAATTCCTTTGGAACTCTGACAGAGATACTGCGCGAGGAGCATCAAATCATTAATTAATTGACAATTAATTGTCGATTGAATCTTTTGTTTTGCATACAAAAAAAAAAAAAAAAAATGCATCGGGAACAAAGTTAAACCTTCTCCCGCGGAATCTAGATAATCAGTAATGATTATCATTAACAAATTCCTTCGCCGTTTAAATTTCGTTGGGAGCGCCTCCTCTTTTTTAATCGAAAAGAATGCATTTAATCGAACGCACTATTTCTCTTCATTTAAATTACTATTTAGCGAATTAAAGTTTCTCACATTGACAAAAATTACTTCTCTACGTTTAGACTCGAAAATTTCAACTTCGTGGAACACCTCTTCCCTCTTAATAAAAAAAAAAAAGGAAAAAACAAATGCATCGAGAGCTATTTTTCTTCATTTAAATTACTCTGTCCCGTAGGATCCAAACGATCGTCATCTCGTTAACCAATAACGAGCATCGATGGCTCTTTAATCGAAAAAGAGAGAGAGAGAGAGAGAGAAAAAAAAAAGAAAAGTGAATCGTGCTAACGTTTTCCTCTTAAAAGGACACTGTGCCTGTATACATACAGCGCGGATACGCATACGCAGATGTATACATACATACAGTACATACATACAACAAGAGAGATTCGCATAGGGGAGAATATGGTTTAGATTAGAATTTTGTTTTGAGCCTGTCTCGAGGCCCTCTCTCTCTCTCGCGAGAGAGAGGGGTCTCGCCTCAGAACGAAAACTTACATAGTCCTCCTACCTTGGAGGTCTTGGCGTAGGTCGCTGCAGCTCTTCCCGGCTTTTGCGTTAGCCTGGCCGACGTTAGTTCGATGGCGCATGGTGGCGGATGTGCCGGTTACAGAGACGGGCCCTGGCCCAGGACTCGGGGTACGCGACGCGGATGGCAGGCCAAGGAGGGAGTCAAGGACGTCCTCCAGGGTCGTGGAACCCGGGCTTGGTTTGTTCCGCAGAAGAGCTGCCGTCGCCATCGCCTCGTCCGTATCGCTCTGGCCCGATCCTAATCGGTTTCATGCATGGGGTCAAGAACAACAGGCTAGAGAGACGTGTCCGCGTGTCATCCTCTTGGCCTCGGAAACGTTCGTTCGTCCGTCTGTCCCCGTTTCGATCTTTCGTTCCTCGAATCCAGTCGAATCGTTCGTTCGTTCATTTTCAATTATTTATCAACGAGTTCCCCGTCTTGTCGTGCAAAAATTTATCGTTTACCGAATTACTGACAAAACTTTACTTCTTTTATAGACAGTTTCACGAAATAAATAATTATTCGACCGAGAGGGGATCACGACTCTAAAGAGAAAAAAAACGAGAAGTAACAGTCTAGTCTTACGTTTGTACTCTGTCCTGTCTTACCAATCTTTGTCTTATCATTTCTTTTGTTCTTTTTAACGCAGTTAACGCATTCGAGTGGTCATCGATGATGGTTGGTATTAGCTTTTGGCCCCACTTTGCACGTACACGCGCTATCGCTTAGCCAATTCTTTCAAAAACTTTCACATTTTAATTTAAATTTATTCGTTTCGTGATCAGATAATTTCGTGCAAGAGACAAACGAAAGTGAAATATGAAACGAACCGAGTGTAGGCCATCCGAAATTTTTCCGGATCGGGCCCATAACGAGCATCGTTGTCGAATCATCGATCGCCACTTGAAGCCACTTCCTTCGCCGAAAGCGTGTACGCGAAAAAAAGGTCGAAGAACCTCTCGACCGACCATTAAGGTTCTAGGGTGCTCGTCACGATGTGTTTCTCGTTGGTGGGGTGTTTGTTAAGGATCCTTTTCGCGCGTCACTTTTCCCTCCCTTGACGGTGGGCAACTACACACGTCGAGTGTCGCACGAAATTTCCACTTCTGCCACTTTCTTACGCACGCTCCGTCCGAACTGTTGCCCCGTTTCTTAACACTTTATCTATTCACTCACGATGGAAGTTGCTATACACTAACAGCCAGATTCGTTGCAGATTCGTCGCCAGTACCTGGCCAGTTTTGGCCATCGTTGTACAATGCGCTATTGCTTATTTATCAAACTACTAAGCTCAACGCGATTACTTTATAAAACTAAAAACTACTGTATAAAACTATAAAATTAAGTTTAAATTATATAATATATAATATTATATATAATATAAAATTATATAACATAACATATTATATAATATTAATTGAAACTAATATTCGTATAATATCTTGAATGTAATAACACTTTTCTCGAAATGAACTAGTTTTCTAAATTAAATTTCGTTAAATTAATTTAACTGTGATATCACTCGTGAAGATTTTTTTATTTTCAAGGATATGGAGATTATTGTTATACACTGACTAACAAATAAACGCAAAAAAACATAGAGAAACGAATGCTTTATTAACCGTAAGAAAAACGAGAGGTCAACCTGATCGACAGCCAGTAAAGAAAAAAAAAAAGTAATTAACAAACCATCGACAACCGTTGACCACCGAAAAGCCGATTAATCTAAGATAAAGTGTTAACAAACACGCGTGAACCTGCAGCGAGTGTTCTTACCTTACCGAACAGAAGAGAGAGACTCGTATCAAGGATTCGCTCGGGTCATCGACGAGCTTCGAATCGCCACGAAGATGGAGTTTGGGAGTTTCTCTCGTAACGAGCACCCTCGGAGGATCTCTCGTCCCTCGAAACGAACGGACGTTTGAGCTTTTGAAGCACACGTTGTTCAACAGACGAAAGAAAGTAACCGACAAGACTGGTTCTCTCCTCGTGTTCCTCGATCGGCCGTAAAGCCGGATATCCACTGGCTGTGCAAAATGTTCGCCAATAGCGAATTCACCGCCGACGGAGATGCAATGTGAAAAATTGCGAGTGATGAATTCTCTTCCAAAAACTAAAACTATTGTGTCAAGACGTGATTTTGTCACTTCTGTCACTTTATTCCACGAATGAAAGTGTAATTTCTTTTTGTTCGAAAAAAATCTTACGGACAGTTGTACCGAGAGAAACTTCGCGTTCGATGGATACCCGGCTTAAAGGTGACCGATGCTTTCAGGATTTCCTCCGTACATACTAACACCAATGGTTTCGTTCTCTTTTTTTTTTCCTTTTCCCAAGTGTACGCGAGGGGGGACAGAACCGTAATTGATCGTCAACAGGAGAGGGAGGAATGGCGAAGAACGAGAAAGAAAAGAGGATCAAGAAAAAAGAGGGAGTGAAAGGGAAGGGGAAAGTACATAACGGACGTCCTCGATTTTTCTTCACCTCTCGTCTACACTTCTCTACGTTTCTACGTGTACACTCCACTTGCACGCTTCTACACAGCTACCGGTATACTCGGTACGCTAGCTTTAATTGCGGCGTTTGCGAGCACTGCCCTCCCTCCCGTCCTCCTACCCCCCTCCCGCACCATTCAGCCTATACGCGAAAGCGCAGAAGGCGAAAACGAAGCCGAAAAGTGGCGTTCTTTTGTTCCTCGAACTTTTCTCGACTCGTTGTTTTTTTTTTTTTTTTCTTTTTACGCGCGTAGATGAGACGACGGGCACGCGCACGTGTGCTCACGCGAGCGTGCCTCGGCCTCTCGACAACTTTTATTCCCACGCCGGAAGAAATAGCGGAACAGTTTTGTTGTTGCACGCTCTATTTCCGGCTGAAAATACCAGCGTATCGGGCCGACGCGCGGATCGTTCTCGCAGAGAGACGAGCAAAAATATTACACACTGTATCTGTGTGTGACGAAGAAAGAGAAAGAAGTTGCGGCGGCGGGGGGAGGGAGGAGAAGAGAAAAAAGAGAGAGAAACGAAACGAACGAGAAAGCGAAACGAATAATAACACTTACCGTGACGGCACAGGCGGAGTGCGTCAACCAAAATTAACCTCTTGCGCTGGCAACTGACTGCGGACCGTAACGAGTGACCGAACCGTATACAACAACTCGTCGGTATACGATATCACTGGATAGAAATTATTGAGAAGTAAATAATAAATTTATTATTTGTTTTCCCTGTGCTACATTCAAATATACTTAAAACTGAGAGAATGTTGCAATTTTGGGACCAAAAAATTCTCGACGTGCGTCATTCCAACGCTAGAGGTTAGCCACTTGCGCTGGCAACTGATTGCGGACCATAACGAGCGACCGAACCGTATACAATAATTCGCCGTTTTTCGTTTCTTTTGAACTCGTCGATACGGTATTATTAGATAAAAATTATTAAGAAGTAATAAATTTATCATTTGTTTTGCCGGTGTTGCATTTAAATATACTTAAAATTGACAGAATGTTGCAATTTTGGGATCAAAAAATTCTCAACGTGCGTGTGGCACGTCATTCTAGCGCAAGAGGTTAGCCCTCTTGCGCTGGCAACTGATTGCGGACCGTAACGAGTGACCATATACAACAATTCGCCGCTTTCTTTTTGAACTCGTCGGTACGATATCACTGGATAGAAATTATTGAGAAGTAATAAATTTATTATTTACTTGTTTTGCGTAGGTTATATTTAAATATACTTGAAACTGAGAGACTATTGCGATTTTGGGGACAAAATAATTCTCGACGTGCGTAGGCACGTCATTCCAGCGCGAGAGGTTAATCGATGCTCGTTATACAGGGCGATGAAAGAGATTGAAATTTCAACGACACGTGGTTTTCACCGCGAGAGGAGAAAAGATGATCAATCAACGTAACGATCTAAAATTAAAGTTCTACGCTGTGGAGGACTACATTCTACGTCACCGGTACGTATTCTAAATAATATAATATCGTTGATACAATCTCTTTCTCTCTCTTTCTCCGATTTGCAAAAATCAGTTCTACTCGCGTCTACTAGAGAGCTTTACTCTCGCTCTTACTAAAAAAAAAAAAACCGCGTCCAAGACTTTCCTCGCTCTAAATATCGAAAATATCTCTCACACGTTGCTATACTATTCGTCGTTTCCTCCATTTCGCCGCGATTGTCGCAAGGATTGAAAAACTCTTCTTCAGAAGGAAACAATCGTTGGACTTATTGTCGTTGAATCTCGCGGATCATTGCGACCGCGTGGTCGCTGCAATAGACGCGGGTTAAGTATTTTTTCATTCTCTACTACGGCAGACATACTCGGCTAGAAGCACAGTGTTATACTCTGTGAGGAGGAACAGACGACATCTCTCGTTCCATAGGGTCGAAATTGAAAAGGAAAGACAATGGAAGAAAAAAACAAAAAAAAGAAGAAGGTAGAGACGGGAGAGCTGACGGTGTTGGAGAGAAATAGAAAGAGAGAGAAAGATTAAAAAAAGAATACCGATATTGTGATATATCGAAGAACGTAAAGGATATAATATAAAGGAGGCAGCAGCAGCAACAACAACAACAACAATAACAATAACAACAACAACGCAAATAACACAAAAGGTAAATGACAATAATTTATTGCTGTCAAGGGTAAATTACGTTCTACAAAGAAATAATAAATCGTTGGTGTGTCCGAACAATAAGTACGGAATTATGTACTTAAGAAAGGCAAAAAAAAAAAAGCACCGGCGCGCAGAACCGTGCGGTACAAAGTACAATAGAAGGAGAGAGAAAGAGAGAAAGAAAGAGAGAGAGAGAGACACACACATACGAATCTCGAGAATCGACGCGCCATAAGTAGCGAAAAGAATGACTACTTCTCGATCGTGATCGATTAAACGATCGATCGCGACAGCTTTCACAGCTTTCGTATGTATTTGTAGCTAAGGTACGATACGTGCGAACGCAAAAGAAAAAAAAGAAGAAGGAACAAAAAGGAAAAAAAAAAAAAGAAAATATGAAGAAAGAAGAAAAATATGGACAGAGAAACGATCGAAAGTTAATACGTACATAAATATGCGATGCACTTTTACCGACGGTTCTGCGAACACTGCACTCGTAATTAAAGGGAGAACAATAATAATAATAATAATAATAATAATAATTAATAATAATAATAATCATAATTATAATACATAATAGCGGTAATAATAATAATAATAATAATAATAATAATAATAATAATAATAATAATAATAATAATAATAAAAATAATAATATCAACGCGTTTGCAATAATGAACGGCGTATACGAATCATACATAAACTAATTCTCTTGTATGTATACATATATAAGTTTTCTATACGTGTCATATACTGAGCTCTCTAGCCATAGACATCATGTAAACAACTTTACAGAGTAAACATACATAAAACGCAAAAAAAAAAAAGGAAAAAAAAAGAAAAGAAAAGAATAATTACTACTGGTACTAGAAGTAATAAAGGAGAGTCTACTAACATATTACATATATATATATATATATATATATAATAAAATATATATAATAACATATTATATATATGTATATCCAAGACGGTAGGTTTCGCACAAAAATTACGTAAAGGTGTATACAGTGGTGAGGGATTTATATGTCTGTGTCTGTATACGAGGAGCAAAAGGAATAAGAAAACCAAAAAACAAAAAAAAAAAAAAAAAAAAAAAAAAAAAAAAAAAAAAAAACAAAAAAAACCAAAAAAAAAAAAAAAAAAAAAAAAAATAAAAGAAGATAAAGAATAAAAAGAGAGAGAGAGAGAGAAAAAATAAAAAAGAAATAGAGAGGAGGAGAAATATTCATGGATCAAACACAGGGAGGGTCCTTCTTTATGGAGTTTTCCAACGACGAGGGGCGGTCGTAACAAAATAAGAAAGTTTACTCTACAAAACAGTTCTCAGTTCAGTGACGATAAATAAAAAAAAGAAAAAAAAAAGGGAGAAGTAATCGTGGCGTATAAACGAACGAGGCATGTAAAAAGTCTGCCAGGACTGGTCTATCGACGTGTACAACCGGGAGACCATCTTGTGGAATGACGAAAACACATTTGAGAGCGGTACGTCGACGACGAGAATCCATAAAGCAAGAATCTACGATACGCGAGCAAGTATTTCCTTCCCTTTCCCCGTGAAACAACATCTCGCGTGCCAAGCTTCTAAAAAAAAAAAAAAAACATCAGTCTTGGCGTCGATAATTTCCATAAATTTTCGAACAGAAGACTGGTCTCTCCTATTTCTTTTTTTTTTTTTCTCTCTAAAAAAAGAAAAAAAGGAAAACGAATTTTAAAGCTTTTGGATTCAACGTCGGCGCCCGTCCGGAGAATTTTAGAGAAGAGATTAGTGTTAAAAAAAAAAAGAAAAAAAAGAAGAAAGAAAGAAAGAAAGTAGCATGTCGATTTCCAAAGCTTTGAGAGTTGCTTTCGTGTGGTACGTGCTTCAGTTTCATTGCGAAGATACGTGTGTTATGTTTCGGTGTGTTTGGGAATTGATCCAGACCCTCGAGCAGTAGTAACGTTATAGTTGGACGTTGACGACGTACAACAGCAAGCTGACGAAAACGATAAACGACATGTATAAAGAAAAAAAAAAAAAAAAAAAAAAAAAGAAGAAGAAAAGAAAAGGGAACAGATTGCAGTAATCAACATGGGCGTGAAACTGTAATCTCGACGGCGGTTTTTAAATAGAAAGTCAATGTACAGACCAGACGGTAGATCGCTCCTTACTAAATTGCGAGCCTTTGGATCTACACTTGACAATGAAAGCACTGCTAGTGAATTTTCCCTGTCGTAGGGAGTTTAATTACTGCCTTTATAAGCCATACAAAAAATTACAGGCCATCTACTTATTAAACAAGATTAAATCCAAACGAAGTAGGTTTCCGACGCTGTGACAGAAATAAAATAAAAAGAACAACCTGGCATAATTCGCGCGAAACACTGCCCCCATCTGGATGCAATCCAGAATTCCTGAAAAATTCAATCGGCGCTGCACCGCGTTTAAAATAAAACTGTATTACTATTTTAAAATAAAACTGTATTACTGTAGACTGAGACTCGTCTATCTTTATATCTCGCGAGAAAGAGACACACACGTATATATTACACTAACTCTTCGTTGCTTACGTTACTATACAATTTTCAAAATTTACCTGCAACATGGCAATCTCTACCTTATAACGTGCACGATTGAGAATAGACGAACAAAACTATTCATTCGTGTCGGATGTTCGAGCCTCAAACATTGAAGATATATGTACGAACATGTACTTTCAGCGCTACCAGTAACAGCGATAATTGCACTTACGTGATTTTTAAGAGACTAAAAGCTAACCCTAAAAGAATATAGCAAAATTTTCTCAGAAAATATATCTATCTTTCAACATTGCGTCATGCAACAATAGTCTTAACCATTTCCTTTTTTGTCTCTCTCTTTTCGTGGATATTTCATCCGATAATCCTGTCTTCTTCTTTTCCTTTTCTTCAACAATACTCGCATAAGAATAATTTACATAACAAAAAACACAATTGCAACATCGTCTTCTCGTCTCGCAGTGCCTCTCGGAGCTGTTTGTCGCTCCGCGTGAGAGGGGAAAAGAACAGCAGCAGATACCTTGAGAAGATACAAGAAACGGTGCAAAGAAGCTGCGCAACGAGAACACAGAGAACAGAGTACATGATCATCGAACGTTTGATCGGTATCTTACACAACGTACACGGTGTTCTATTCTTTTTTTATGGCTCGTAGAAAAATAAAAATTCTTCGATTCGCCGAAAGCATATATGTACATATATAAAGTGCTTCGCGAAACCGAAAGTACGCGCTCTTTGCCACAAAGTTTCGAGGGAACTTCGTCGAGTGACGATCAACAACAAGGTAGAAAAATAACGTTGCCTCGTGAGCATCGAGATCGATACGGATATAAATCATCGACTTTGGTTCGTCCAACACTCCTTCGAAGCGTGAAGAAACGCTACACCGTCACGCGGCGAAGATCGCGAGATCACGACAGGCTCGTGACGGAAACGAGTGGAATAGTTGACAATTGGAGAGCAGCCCGAAGCAGTGGCGTGCGTCACGAAACGTGATCGACGTGGTTTCGAGAGACACCACGGCCGCGGAAACACGTCAGTGAGAGAGATTTTTCGAAAGAGACCGAAAGGCCTGCTCTCTGTCCCCTGCCAAGTATCACATTTGGGATTTGCAAGTGCTCCGAGTCAAGTGGGAGAAGAGATTTTTTTTTTTTAACAAGAGGACGGAGATGCGACGAAGCAGATCTTCAACATGTTACTGCATCACGTACAGCAGTTGATATGTTTTTACAATCTGGAAATTGGAGAAAGTTACGAATTTTCAACGAGTTTTCAGCATCTGTCCTTTGATGAATTTTCTGAAGCGTCTTTCCTTCTAGATATTTCAGAGAATGGGAGTAGAAAAGCTCTAAACTATTTAGCACATTCTAGAGAGTTTGAAATCATTTTCAAGAGGCTAAGGAACTAACATTAAGTACGGAGTACTCGAGTTCTGCTAGTTGAGAGAGAGAGTTTCGAAGACAAATCGCGTACAACGTTCCGCTATGTTAATCGTTTCGAGTAACTTACGAGCGTATTTCATTAAATCCGCGTTAACGGGTATATAACTCTTACACGCGATCTTTTAAGTTTAAAAATCTGTTACCTCAGGAAATCAGCTAATTACGTATATAGTCATGAAGAAAGTTGCGAAGTAAAGCTTATCGGAGTATCTCGCTACGTACTGCAGTTACGTAAATATCTCTTCCAAACTATCATTCCCAAGTTCCTTGCTCTCCCTCCAATCATCCCAAAAACCACCAACTCTCCTACTTTCGTCCTTCAGAGAACAAACCGCGTAATCACGAATACATTACCCCATCTAATAGTCGTCGACTACAATAGTTAGCCAATCTACCAACCGCTAGACACACGCTCGAATCTCGAATGGAAACGAATGAAAACAGTCCTGGAAGAAGAGACAGTTTTTCGACTCGCCAAACAACAAACGTCAATTCACAACAGGCGTTCGATTGTGAAAGTACAGACAAGAGCGAACCACGATGGTGTTTGCTCGCAAAACGTGAATCGTCTTCGTCAGCTTCGACACGGCGGACCGCGAGGAACGCGTCGAGGAATCGTCTGGCACGGTGGAAACGCGGCCGTACGTGTACTCTGTTGGCGGGAATCGCAATTGTACATTGTGTTCTTTCACTTGTCTGATGTTTGTTTTGGGCTTCCCGCTAGGCGAGCAGCAACTCACCGCGGCGCTGTTGTTGCTGTGCTTGTTGCTGATGATGAAGCTGACGATGATGATGATGATGATGATGGTGCTGGTGATAATTGAGTGTCGAGGACGGTGATGGACAGAGGCTACCGCCGCCACTTCCTTGCTGCTGTTGCTGTTGTTGTTGTTGTTGTTGCTGATGATGATGTTGCTGTTGGGCGTCGTCGTGCGTCGGCGTCAGGTCCAAGAACAGGCCGGAAGTGGCGGAATCGACGCAGCTGCACGACTCGGTGGCGGTGGCGTTGCATCCGGGACAGCAGTCGGTCTCCGTGGCCAGGCTCATCGGCGTCTCCGGCGAATCCACCGGCCTCGTGCCGACGAACGAGCTCTCCATCCAACACAGCTTCACGCTCCCTTCGAGGAGAAGTTTTCATTTCATTAGATGCGTCACGGGGATGCGCCACTACACGCAGGGGGGCGAGCGCGCGGCGTTCTGTTCTTTCGAGCTTCTTTTACGACTTTTTACAACTATAATATACATATGTATGTGTGTGTATATGACGGAACGAAACTTAATAACGACACGGAGGGACTGGGCCGGAAGTAGCAATTTTCTAGCTATCCTCCGCAAGCGTGCTTTTGGTTTTCTTTACAAAAGAATAGACCGCGTTTCTCTGACTGTACTGTACTTTATTTTCGTTCTTCTTTTTTTTATTTCGCTACTCGTTATATTTTGCATCATTACTGACGCGATTATTCTCAAAAAATGAGAAAAGAAAAAAAAGAGACGGTCATCACTCAGATCTCTGTTAGTCAAGCTCTAATAACACGAAGGTATTAATCACAAATCAAGCCGAGCGGATATCAGCACACATATACACGTTATCAACAAACCAATGTACACGGACCAATACTGGCAACAGTTAGTGTAACACCGTAGGTGGCAAGATGCGGAGGCATTTTGTTGAGTCGCGAGTTACGTGTACACGTGTTGTCACGTGTGTCACAAAAGTATATATATATATATGTATATATCTATATGTATGTACGAGGTGGCGACAATTGGCCAGATGTACGTTATCTTCGCGCATCGTTCCCCGTTCTCTCTCGATGTGTGTTTGTTTTAATTTCGTCTTAAAGGTCGGCTTCGAGCGAATCGACGAGCGTGTACAGAGACAGAGGGGGTGTGACTGAAACTTCAGGGTGATCTATTTCGGACGTGGCACGATAGTCACACGTCGGCGCAAGGCTATCGAAATAGCAACCCAGCCTCGCACCAGGTCGGTCGCCTGTGTGTAACGCATACTTTCGTCGAGACGGCCGCGGGCGATTGAAGACCAAGTCAGAGCAGACAGAGCACATCGGTGGTGGTCGTCTGACGGAGGTCGAGAAGACGTTCCTCCCTAATTCTCGATCGTGCGTGCGCCCGCTCGCTGCTTCTTTCTCCTCCCTCGCCGTGTGATTTGACTTTCGCGCTGGAAATACACGACTCGATGACTCAAGGTTTGCTTGCGCAAACGCGAATTTACGTGGAATTCTCGTGGCAGCTTCCGCTGAAGACTCACTTCGATCGTCGAAGATCGATCCTCCGTTTCTCTGCGATTCTTTTTCGAACACTGTCAACGAAACATATTTTCTCTCTTTCTCTCGCTCTCTTTTTCTCCTTTGTAACGAGATCGATATCGCAGGTTCGAAGACAAGAGTAGTATTGTCAAGAGGCGGGAAGAGACATCTCGAGAGTACGACGAGTTTCGAGGCTGCAATTCTGCTTTGACTAAATGCTGCGAGCACGAGACTGTTCGTTGTTCTCGATCCTCTCTTCGTTTTGAACGAGCGAGAGACGACGATTTGTAAATTTCGAAACGGCACAAGACTCTGGTCGATTTCCCTCGAAGAATCCAAATATTATTAATCGCCTAAATATCGCGGCTCGTAAATCCGTCTGGCACCGTTGCAAAGTGGGATTTCCAGCTCGATCGCGACTAATTTTTACGACTGCTCGAAAAGTCTGCGAGACAGAGCGGACCGGACGAGTTGGCCGAAGAGAGGTTTACGATGTGCAACACAAGACACGTTTGTACACATATATAATACGTATCTACACAGAAGAGGGAAAAGTAGGGGTTGTTTTTTTCTCTTTTTTTTTTTTTTGAAAGGGGGAAAGAACGAGCGGCTTCTCGCGCATGTTAACGTAGAAACACCTTGAAAAGATCCGGGCGATATTGCGAGCCGGCACGTGAACCAGCGCGGCATTCGCGCAATGAATGAGCCTGCACGCGCGTGTAGGGGATACGCTACAGTTTTTTAAACCTGTCAAAGGCGGTTTTGTTGAATGGCCAGGGCTTTTGAAAGCAATTTTCGTTAGTAAACACAGGACGGCCAAGAGAACGAATAAAGAGAGGGGGGGGAGAGACAGCCAAAGAGAGTGGCTGGTAGAGCTTTGAACTAGCATGTGACAGGTATATACGTCGAATATTGTGTAGGTAAGTAGCGGCACAACGAACAAATTCATTCCGGATTGGAAGATTTAGAAAGATTAAAAAAAAAAAAAAAAAAAAAAAAAAAAAAAAAGAAAAGAAAACAAGATGTGTAGAAAGACTGGCAAGAGAAACCCGGATGAGAGGCGCAGAGTACAGATGCAGAGACAAAGAGAAGAACTTCACATCAACAGATCAGGAAAACTCAAAATTACCTTTGTCGTAGAGAGTAAAAGTAGTGATGGTGTAGTGGTGGTGGTGGTGGTGGTGGTGGTGGTAGGATGGTTTTTTTTTTTTTTTGGCAGGGGTTGTTTAGTGCTCACCTCTGGGGCTAGTCGACCTTGCTCCGCCCCTGTCGTCCCAGTCTTCAGGTCGAGGTCGAGGTGACAGCCTGCCACCTCCACCAACCTCCTGACCGCTTTGCACGTAGTGCACAATGGCCGAGGTAACCTCCTTTATCGAGTTCCTTACCTCTAGCTGCTGATTCGTTGTCTGCTGCTGCTGCTGTTGTTGCTGCTGCTGTTGCTGCTGCGAAGAGAAAATTTTCATTTTATTACATTCATTTTAAATTTTCATTATGATAAATTTTCATCAAATTGAGCAGAGTTGTCGATGATTCTCTATGAATCTAACAGTGAAATTACTCATCAATCATTGTTCGGATAATTTAATCTTTCCAACAAGAGATACGGAATTGGAACATTGTAATCTGGTGAAACTGATTGAATTAGTTGATATCGAATAATCTAAACAATTATTCTGACGTTAATTGAAGGCGTTAAAGGAATACAGGCAGAGGCGTCGATATCGAAAAATTTGATCCGACGTTAACAATTCTATAATTACAGTCGTAACAATTGGAAAATCGTCGAATAATCAATAATCTGTTCATTACGTGAATTGTAAAGCTTCTTCGACAGAGACCTCTGAATTAACCGTTCAATACCATTACCCGCTATTGCGCTCGACTCCACCGTTGCGAAAATTCAAGTTCATATAAAAATTCACTTCGCCTCGAGATTTTTATTCGAACGTGAACAGTTAAAAAACAAAAAGATACGTAAATTTAATAAAACTTTCAACACGTATGTACACGTATTCAACTACAAATTTCCAACAAAATTTTCACGACAGCGAAAAAGAAAAAATGAAAAAAAAAGAGGAGAGAGAAAAGAACACTTTCACGAGGGAGCTGCTTTCCGATAAACTGATTAAAAATTTACAAAGTGGGTCAATATTCGCGGTTCGGCCTTAAAGGAGAGGGGATGATTCGGGTAACAGTCAATTTGTTTCAGGCTGCAAAGGCCACGAGACGCGGGAACACGGAGGATTTCTGCCAGAATTTCTAATTATAGACAAGTCGCCGCATTTGCGCGCTGTCTGCGCAAATTAAAAATAAATTGAACAAAGAGAAAACTGAGGGAGGAGGGAGGGATGTAGAGGTCAGTCACGATCCGAGGCCAAAATGTCTAATCGTGGATTTGATTATTCGAATGAAATCGTTCGACAAATCGTTTCGACGATAATAGATCTGCTTCTTCGTTGCCAGTTGTGAATTTTGTCGAAAATTGTGCGGAACTGAATTGGAGAAAAAATTCGGAGGCAGTAATAGAGTTAGAAATGTTGAAGAATTAAAATGATGCGTGCGTGTGTATGTGTGTGAAACATTCTCAAGATTTCTTTGGTACGAACCTTGTTTGCTGCTTGCAACTGGGGGAGAATACCCTGAGCAAGACGTTCTGCCGGTGTTCGCGGGTTCGTTAGCCGTTCTTGGGAACGCCAGCCCAAGTATGGCTGTCGATGATTGAAGGACGACCTCGCTGAACTTGCTGGTGAACTTCCGGCGCTGTTCAGCAGACTGGTACTCCATCTTGAGAATACAGGTGGCGTGGGACTTGGACTAAGAAGGGCACCTGAACAAATTCATAGAAAAGTATTAGTATCCTAGCCGTAGTCTTGCAATTCGTTGTTTCTTTTATTATATAGACATTTTCAAATCCGAAATGTATTTTAAACTTATGCAAATTTCATGACTTATATATGGTAGCACATATATGTTTTAGCTTATATTCGTATCTAATTGTTTATCAATTTTCTGAACTCGTGTGTATTTTATTTTATTAACTTTCTGAACTCGAAGTGTATTTTATATTGTTAATTTTTTAAACTCGAAATGTATTTTATTTCATCAATTTTCTGAACTCGAAATGTATTTTATTTTGTTAATTTTCTAAACTCGAAATGTATTTTATTTTATTAATTTTCTAAACTCAAAGTGTATTTTATTTTATTAACTTTCTGAACTCGAAATGTATTTTATTTCATCAATTTTCTGAACTCGAAATGTATTTTATTTTATTAATTTTTTAAACTTAAAATGTATTTTAAACTTACGCAAAGTTCATGATTTATATATAGCAGCATTATGTTCTAGTTTATATTCGTATCTAATTATTTATCCATTTTCTGAACTCGTAATGTATTTTATTTTATTAATTTTCTCAACTCGAAGTGTATTTTATTTCATCAATTTTCTGAACTCGAAATGTAATTTATTTCATCAATTTTCTGAACTCAAAGTGTATTTTATTTTCTTAATTTTCTGAACTTAAATGTATTTTAAACTTATGCAAAGTTCATGACTTATATATCGCAGCATTATATTCTAGTTTACATTCGTATCTAATTGTTTATCAATTTTCTGAACTCGAAATGCATTTTATTTTATTAATCATCTGAGCACGAAATGTACTTCCAACTTGTGCAAAGTTCATGGCTTATATGTAGCAGCACCGTGTCCCAGTCTATATTCGTATCTAATTATCTTATTAATTTTCTGATCGAATATTATATTTAAAACAGCTCCGTACGTTTGACCTTTAAGATTGAATACTTGCCAGTAAGTGCAAGTGAAATGCTTATCGACGTAATTGTTACAGTATCGCGAGCCGGGTAAAATAGATAGTAGCTTCGAGTTTAACAGTGGTAATACCACGACACCGTGAATCAATTGGAATCTTGACTCATTTTACAGGCGCGTTTGTTACTTGATCCGGAATTGAAATGCATTACGCTGGAAGACTTTGATAGACAGTTGGTTCTGCAGGTCGAATAATACGTTGTCCGGGAACTTTTCAACGACGGAATAAAAGCTTGACAGCTGCCTTACGTTGACGTTACCAGCTCGAAGGTTCGAGGTTATCCGAGGTTAACGACGATGCTGTGAACGAAACACGTTTTCGCGTGTTCGCGTGGCTTCAGTGGTAGACGTGGTGATTTTACTCCTTTGTTCTTCGTATCAATTATTAAAGGAACTTTGGAGAAAAACGTAAAGTGATTGAAGTACCGTTGAAAATTAATTGTTGCAGAATTGTTTCTCTCTGGATGGGGATATGCGGTCTTCCACAAACAAATATTACACAATTTCCAGACTTGTAATAAACTTCCGAGATGATTTTGAAAAAATGAAAAGATGCACACTTATAATTTTTCAAAAAAAAAAAAAAAAAAAAAAAAAAAAAACTACATGTATCTGTTAAAATCAAAAAACGTTCAGTAGCATCGTTAGACGTCGTTTCGGGAAGGGTGTCTCGAGAGTGAACTGTGCCCCATTCAGATTTCCAAACCGAGGGCCAAATCCGCGTGAGCGACGCGTGTTGGCAACAGCCAGCCCTTTAACTCTGGCAATTAGAGCCCTCCCTTGACAAATCGCGTTCTCTCGCGTTAGAAGCGTCCTTGAACGTTTCTCAGCCACCCTGCGAACGAAGGGCAACCATCAGCTCTGTCGGTACTGCAACGGGTGGCGGGTTAGACCTCGACTTTGCAGACGACTACTCTGCAGGGCCGAATTAATCGAATTAACTTGCCCCGCTAAATTTATTAGCCACTTCCTATTAGCATTTACTCGGCGTAGCCAGAGAATATCCGCGAGACTATGTCGCTCACAAGAGAGAGAGAGAGAGAGAGAGAGAGAGAGAGAGAGAGAAACGGGAGCATAAATGAAATTGGCCGACACTAGGCTCTCGCTACGTGCTAATTTCGGACGCTGCTTGCCTTTTCACTCTCGGAGGGAAGACGAGGACGGGTTTGCTTGATATTGCGCCGTTTTATTGCGAATCGTTCCGAATAGAGCCCCGGCTATTGTGCCCTCTTTTCCCTTTCGTCCGTGGCATTTTCGAGAACCGCGATATCAACTTTCCGCTTGCACCGAAACCGTTTTTTCAACTTGAAGAAAAGCTACTCGTTCCTCGGGAGGGGAGAACAAAGAGTAGGGCGAAGCAACGAAAGAAACGTCGCTTGAAAGCTACAGCTTTATCAACCTCTTGCGCTGGAATGACGAATTTTTTTCTCCCAAACATGCAACATTTTCTCAGTGTTAAGTGTAACAAATGATAAGTTCAATCATTTCTATCCAGTTATATCGTACCGACGAGTCCAAAAGAAAAGGAAAGCGACGGATTATTGTGTACGGTCCGGTCACTCGTTATGGTCCGCCAGCGCAAGGGGTTAAGACACTGGAGCCAGGTGTGCCTTTATTTCTTAAAAAATGTCGCCGTTTATTTTTAATTTTATATATAGAGAATGATTAGATGAAAGCAGCAATTATGCACATACGTGTTTAAAATCTGTGCCACGCAAAAGATGAATACCAACACACTTTATATATTTCACTAAACGGTACATGTGTATTCAGCGTTTCTTTTTTTCTGTTCTTTTTTTTTTCCAAAAGCAGAATCGTTACAAAGTTATATTTCTTGCCTTTCAAGTGTCGAGAGAATCTTCTTCAGAGGATCCCTCTCAGTCAATGTAATAAAATCTCAAAGCAAGTGTCATTAAACTCTCCCGCCAGGATAAAGGCTTTCACTCGGAGTAATGCCTTTAGAAGTCCACATTCACCTCTCTGAATAATCGCGAATAAATATTCAAAAGGTATTTCGCGCAAAGTGACACGGTATCCTCCGGTGATATATGATCTTGAAACATTTGTGGCTTTATTATCTGTCCGCGGTGTATATAAGAATTCGTTAAGCGTACTCTCGAAACGTAAGGGATCATTCATTCCGTTCGTGCGTTCTATTTATTCTCATATTGTGACATTTCATTGCAATTGTGAAATGGACGGTGTAAAAGTGTAAGGTATCTCGAATATATCGATGAGACGAGCTTACCTGTAGTCGGCTGTCTATTGGAAGACGACGAAAGGGACGAGAGGGAGGTGGTTTTCGAGCCCAGAGCACGCCATCCTCCGTGTTGCGACGCGTCCGAGTGCCTCTTCAACCGGAAACCATCGCGAGCCGCAGGAGAATTCTTGTACCAATCCGGGACGTTCAGTCGTTGCAGAGATCTCTGCACTCGGAGTTCGTGCTCGCTGGGCACGCGTTCGCCGACTTTCTGCAACTCGTTCTCCGGCGGCTGTAAAGCAACGATTTTTTTCTTTTTATAGATAATCAAATAAAGAAAAAAACCCTGAGTGCACTCGATCATTTTTTTTTCTTTTTTTTTTTCCTCTCTCTCTCTTTTTCAGTATGCACTACGCTACGAAAGTGTGGAAGCAAATTAGCATTTATTCGCTAATTTCGCGTGACAAGTTGCCAACGTCCATCGAGCTGAGAATTTACATACAACCCGCTGTCGCAATCATCCGCTGTAATTTAGTCAATTATTCTTAGCAAAATACCCCATTAGACATATATCCCATACACTGAACGTGAGAACGTCGCGTCTGTGACTTCCACGTTACGCAATTTACCTGTTTCGTGCGGCGTAATCGTTGCATTTTCGTCGAGATTCTTCTCTCACGCAACCGACTACAATGAACGAGAGCAATATCTACGTATATAACGCCGTACTTGCATCTCTCGTCCAATATCAAATATTCTGCAACGATATCAGCTGATTACCGAGAAAGTATAGTACGTTCGCCTTGAGACAAAGATCGCACTTTGAATCTCTGTGCAATTTTGCAAATTCTGTTTGAGCTAACGTATATATTAATTTCGTTTCAACGAAACTTTATTTTGAAATTTAACGACAGAAGAGCATTAGAGGATATTATAGACATTACGTAAGGAGTTATAAAACTCTTTCGAAATTACGTAAGGATATAAGGTATAAGGCACATGCAACGATAATAAATTTAATAATATTTCTGTGACCCGTTTTCATAGCCATCGCTTTGACGAAAAATTTTTCTTTCTTCTTTTGGTGTAAGGGAAATATAAACATTGGATGGGCTAGAAATTGATAAAATTAGGTTCTCTCGTGCATTTTGGTGTTTCATTAAAAAAAGAAAAGTAATAATAATAGGTGGGAAGAAACTTTTGGCCCACTCTGTATCGAGTGTGGAAGAACACGTCGATCGATCGATTCTCTGATCAGAAAGATCAGAAATCTTTCCACCTTGATACAAAACTTTCGCAACTAACAAATGGCCAAAAACAGACCGATCGATGTTGCAATCGCTGGCATTCTCGGAGTTTTTGCATTCGCTATTTTAAGAAGATGTTCGACACAAAGCTAGACATTACAGATACACGGAGGGGGAGACAGAAATGTACAAATACGCGAATATAAATAATGCGAGAACAGTTTCCGAGTAGGTACACGCACACGCGCACACAGCGTTTGTATCAAGTGGGTGAATCGATGGGACAGCTAACAGACGATGGTCAAACGATGCGAAGGAAATAATCGAGGCCGGCTGAAATACCCGAGGCGCGCTCATCGGAAAGCACTTGCCGGGAGAATAACCGTTTAAAAGCGTTTTCCCAATGTCACGGAGCTTGCGTGAGAGAGCTGGGGCAAAATGATCGATCGATTTTTCTGCTGGGCTGTGAACGTAGACCGGGGGCGTAGCTCCGGTTGGATGAGGCAACGCCATGAGATGCCAAGCGTCGAAGGCCGAATGAAAGGCAAAAGAAAATCGCCGATTGCGATTGTGCGTGCGCGTGTGGGAAGCGCGTGGAAGCGGCAATTTTCAAGAAGGCCTTCAAACGGCGTTATCGTTGTGTAGGTTAAACCTACCAACATTCAATTCACTCGTACACTCATTCTCACCGTGCTTGGTCAAAACTATTTCTACTCGTGAGCTTGTGAGAAAAATTCTGGAGCCATTCATTCATTCTTTCTTCGTTCCGTGTATCTACATTTTTAGCCTGCCACGATTTTATTTATACTACATTATGTTTATGTTTATTTATATGCGTCATGTACATGTTTATGTTTATTTGCATTTTACAGTCAGAGAAGATAAGACGGTGACAAAGATCGTGGCATATTGTAACCGGGAGCAACAAACGTTCAATTGCCGAATCGTCACTAGGTAAATCTATTGCAGCTGCATTAGATCTCACGTTAGATCGTGTATCAGTAACGTTCTCCGTACAAAGTCACGGCCACACTTTCATCTGTAACGACTTTATAGTTTCAAAAATCGAGCCTTCGGGGGAATACTGTTACCAAAAAAAGAAAAAAATTGTTCAACCGATCGTGGTAAGTAAGACAGAGAAACAAGCAATGAGAAAAGAAGTGAATATTGAAAAAAATATTCATTGTGCGTGCACGATATAAGAAAAGTCGTGAGGTTAAATGGCAATGCAATAACATCGTATGTATGTAAGAAATTCTAAACGAAATTTTAATAAACGGTTATTTGATCGTGGGTAGGTTTAGCGTTGAAAGTTTTCGTACCGAGCCAGGGAGACTCTGAACAACAAGACTGGCAGGTTCGAGGAACAGTAGCTTACTCTTACAGGATATCCAAATTTAGCGACTCGTTTGTCTTAGGGTTAGATAGCGTACCTTCAGTAATCGAGATCTGTTTTTGCTCGCGATACAGCTGCGTAAACAACTTCTCATCGTCGTTCATTTTCGTGTCTAGGTTATTACACCTTTCCACCATTGTGGAAACTTCCTGTGCTACACCTACTACTCTTGGATTAGATTAAGAGTTGACGATTTCCTTCGCAGGAGAGACAACAAGACGCGTAATTGAACAAGAGAGCAATAACATACGCAAAGAATCTTGACGCTAGAACTAGCATAGAATATTTCCATCAGAGATATTAACCACTTGCGCTGGCAACTGGTCCGCGGACCGTAACGAGTGACCGTATACAATAATTCGTCGCTTTCTTTTTGGATAGAAATTATTGTGAAGTAATAAATTTTTTATTCGTTTTGCCTATTTTGTTTCACTTACTTAAAGCTGAGAAAATATTACAATTTTGGGACAAAAAATTCTCGACGTGCGTGACCAGCGCAAGAGGTTAAAGTAAAAGAAGAGGAAGAGCTACGAAATATGTGAACTTTTGTAATAACGATATGATTTAAAAATCATTTGATGACGATGCGATTTAAAGATCATTTACAGCCACCAAAAAAAAAAAAACTACAAATTGACCAATTTGACAGTTCCGGTGCAAACAGCATTTTTACGAAACTACTTTTCTCCGATAACTCTTGCTACGATAAAAAGTATTACGTAATTTATACAATCGACATAAAACGAGAGACAATACCTGACTCTTGAATACAAATTCTCCGACGTGATCTCTTAACATTTCTCCAATTGTTGACACGCTAAACAAGCTGACAACCCATTCGAAATTGATCATGGTCTTTAACCTTAACTCGATTGAAGTTCTTCCTTGTCGTATCCTAGTTCTGTCCTCGTACAATCGATGTCACAACGTGAATATGGTTGTACGTTAACTCTGGCCATTAGCATTGCCAGTGTCTCGTCGTATTTCAATTCACTTCTCACGCAGAGAGGCACAGGAATTTATTTATTTGTTTATTTTTCTAAATTTATAAATTTATCTTTTTAAAGGGTGTAACGGAAATGAAAAATTAACGAACCTTTCCCAACTCTAATTCTTTTACTAACGTTGAAAAAAAGAGATGCCATTTTAGGTCTGGAAACTTTTCTGTTTCAAGATACGAATAACTTTTGAAATTTCAATTTCTAGTAGTACAGGGTGATTCACGTAACTTGCACACCTGAAATAACTTTTGAATTATGCGTCTAATGAAAAATGATTTAATACAAAAGTTGCGTGGTTTTAAGGGAGGCAAAATGTCATATATTTTGTGGGTTTCGAAATTTTCAAGGTCACCTTTATTTTTTTTTTTTTTTTTTTTTAACTGGACCGTATATCTTTTTCATTGTAAATCGAAAAGTATCAAATTCCAAGTGAAAAAGTATTAATATTTAACGTTCTTTCGATTTATGATGAAAAATATATACGATCCAATTAAAAAAGAAATGAAGATGACCTTGAAAATTTCGAAATCCCTCAACACACGCAACAAATTCTTACGCTATATTTCACTTCCCTTGAAATCGTGCAACGTTCGTATCGAACAATTTTTCATTAGATCAATCATTCGCATAATTCAAAAGTTATTTCAAGCGTGTGCAAGTTACGTGAATTACCCTGTATGTTCACAGCCGTGCTAGTTTTCATCGATTCCGAGCAAAACGATGGAGAAAAAAAAAAAGAAAAATAAACATGCGAACGTACAGGACAAAGAGGAAATTTCTATGTCAATATAGGCAGAGGCATAAAGCACAATCAATGAAAGAATGGAAGTGGAATCGAAAGCAGAGAGACCATTCCAAGATGGCATTGTTCCGCGTGCACGGGCAGAGAAACGCGTAACGACGTGCTGCTCCCCCTGTGAAAAGGTTCGCGCGAAATTTCCATACGTGCATACATACAAAGACGCTAACGGGACCTAATGCCATCGAAAAACAAAGGACAGACAGATGAGGAACGTGCTGGCTGGCTGGCTGGCCTACGCGCGACGCGTCGTGTTCTCCTTTGATTATTAACGTTCCAGCAACGGTTCGCCATATGCGTGCTCGTGAGAACGCGAGGAGCTCGCTCCAATGGCAAAAAGTTATTTTCAGCGTGGAACCTCGCCGAGAACAAACTAACCGGTGCCGAGACCCCTTTCAGCAGCGATCAACTAGGTCATTTTTACACCATTATGTGGTATTTTTACCAGCCGATATCGCGTTTCACAAGATATTTTCCTTCTCCGTTGTTTTGTAAATTTCGTTCGACGATTATTCTCGTTGAGGCGAGCAATATTTTTCCCTAATTACCATTCAACGATACACTTCGATCGTTAATTTAAATCCCCAGCGCTGGCAACTGGTTGCGCGAACCGTAACGAGTGACCGAGAGCCGTATACAATAATTCGTCGCTTTTTTTTTTTAAACTCGTCGATATCATATGATATCACTGGATCGAAATGACTGAGAAGTAATAAATTTATTATTTGTCTTGCCTATTTTGTTTTACTCAAGTATAACTTGAAATTGAGAAAATATTACAATTTTGGGAGAAAAAATTCTCGACGTGCGTGTGGTACGTCATTCCAGCGCAAGAGGTTAACCATTTGC